TCCAGCAATCATCTCTAACTGGATATTATTTATTTCATAGAAATCTTTCTAAGTTTACTGGCACCACTGCCTGTTCTATAACAGCCACTGACAATGAGTTCCATTGGTTAATTGTGCGTTGCCCTACCCTTTTGTGAAAAAAGAAACTGGGAAAAGAGACTGCGTTCCATCCAGATTAGGAAGACGAGCCTCTTTGTCATTTTTTGGGATTGCTTTGACAAGCTCAGCAAATCTCCAGGGGCTGATTAGGAAGGCACTTCCTTCTGCCTTCTTCGCTGGAGGAAATGAGAGGGAGGCATCAGGATTCAGCAGGAATACAAAAGATTAGTTGTTCAGCAGTATTACTTGAAACCTGCCTTGTGAAGCCAAGATGGAACCATCAGCACAGATTGGGAGGGTGAACAAAGAAATAGTCCAGACTGCCAGAAAAAAACAAAACCCTTTAAAAACATTTCCCCAAGATCTTTCTTTCTTTCTTTTTTTCAGATAGTCTTATTGAATTGAAGGGAAAGGTGAAACAGGGTCCTGAATCTACAGTTCCAAAAGGCAGCATAAGAGGAGGCATAAGCAGTTTTTAAATGCAAGTAAACTATACCATTGTCAAATTCAATGGGAAATGGGACCACACTATATGCAAGAAAAAGGTTGTCAGCAAAGTACATATCAGCTTTGTTTGCACAAAAAGCTTAAGAATGGCTTTAGCATGTGATACAAACAGCCGAACTTGGCCAACAGTGACTAACTTTAACCCAAGCAGGCTGACACTGTTCTGGGTTCCACTGCCCTTCTCTGCTGAGGCCCATCTTGAAATCCAGCCAACTGCAGAGGAATTTCCAAACCTTGCCAGGGCCTTTATGGAGAAAATGAGCTGGAGATCCAGAGCAACCCCTCTCCCAAAGGCTACGCCTCTTCATTGTTGCTATTTGTGAGATTTTATCCCACCTTTCCTCCAGAAGCTCAAGGTGATATATTTTGCACTTCCTCCTCTCCCATTCCCCCCCCCCCCCCACTGTAACCATCCTCCAAAAAGAGCTAAGCTTTTGTCACTGAGGAAAGACTTGAATGGAAGCCTGTAAAATCTGTTGTCATTTGTTATGTTGAAGGGAAGGCAGGGACTGCATTGACTTGAAAGAGGGACAACAGAGACAGATGTTTTCTGCCTACTCAAGGATGGCTGGAGGGCATTTTAACTCTCTAGACAGGAAAGGCCCTATATCTGAAGGCATTGGCTTCTTTCCTGCCATTGATTGAGTCTCAGTAGCCATCAATAGACTATACAGAGGATCTCTGTTGCCCTTCAGACAGCAGGCCCCACTCATTTACCGCAGAAAAACCAAAGCTAGAGCTATGCCAGCCAGGATTTACAGGCTTCTCCACCATGTCTGAGAATTGTAATTGTCAGTGGCTTTTCTACAATTCCTGACTAGTTGCTCTTTGTGTTGCCAATTCCAAGAACAAAAGTGCCTCATCCGTTATATATTTCCTCTTCCACCTCCGCTATTGTGTGCTTCAGTACTCATCCTGAATCTACTTCCAATTTACTTCCTGTGGCAAGCTCCTGGATTTTATAGCCAATTCTTTTCCCCGCTTATAGTTTCCATTTCTAGCTCAGTTTTCGGTTTACAGTATTAGAACTGCATTAGACTGATAGGTTGGCTGTATGAGACTAGTTGAAGGGACATCAAAACCCTACATTACCAAGACACTGGGATTGGTGGGGGGGCGGGGGGGGGGAATCTGCTTTTCTTAGAATGGAAATGAACTGGAGAGGGCAAGACCTTGTTTCCCTTATTTTAGAAACTGGGAAAAGCATTATATGAAAAAGGCAAGGAATCCAGCAGAACTCTTCTTTGCTGCCATCCAGGATTCCAGAGGTTTTTTTTTTTAGCCTTTTCAAGAGGACAAAAAACAAAAAGTCAATAATACCTGTTGGAAAACTTTTTTTCCAAATCTTTGCAGTTCTCTTCTTTCTGGTGCTTTTGGGCTGGACTCTGTGCTTTGCCTATGAAAAGGCCTATGTAGATGACTATAACAAAATCAAACACCAGTGTTTGTCCTTACAATGAAACAGTAGCTGTACTCAATGCTCAGATGGACTTGGCAGTGCCAGCTTGGGTCTATTTCCACTCCCATCTTAGCCCCAGAGATCCCATGCCTCTCCTCCCCACAACAGCCTCAATCTGTAGATAAAGAAACTATTCAGCATGATCTTAAATGGAGGCCAAAGTTCTCCCAGAAGAAAAGATTGTGATGCAGAATGACAAACTGGGGGTTGAGGGAGAGTCGGGCTGCCAAAGGCAGGCATCTTGGCTATGTTATTCAATTCCCTTGTGAGGGAGGCACAGGCTGGCTTGTGCTCTGCCAGGACTTGCTGTGGATATTATCTGAATGGCTGATATATAGAGAGGTCATGGAAATGGCACTTTGCCCAAATTATACAAATGTGGAAAACAACAGCTGATTATTGATTTCCACACTTATATATTGTAGAGGGCAAAGATTAAGATTCCTGAGTCTGATGTCTTCCAAATGTTGGATAACTCTCTTAGTCATCCAGCAAACTGGCCAAAGGGTTAGTGACTTGGTCCAATCTATTTGTAGGAAGGGTGGAAAAATGGGGGAAGGTCAGTTACGTTAAAAAAAAAGTGAACAAAAAACTGACTGTTTCTGAAAAATTCTTGACTGACTTGCTGCCTTCCTTTTGTTTTGTTCCCTTTTAAAGCTCCTGTGATCTGTGGTGAAAGGAGAGCAAGTCAGCCATTGTGCAACAAGGGTGCCTTCTCCATTTACTGTGATCAGAGTTGCCTATTGCTGGGTTGGTTAGATTGGGAGAGAAGGGATATGTTAGAAACCGAGACAAGCTTCGGAAACAGCATACTGGAACCCTGTGGAAAGAGGAGACAGGTAAAGGTGGCTCAGAGAGGGGGGGCAGGATGAGGTGAAAATATCAGATCAGGAGAAACATGGATAACCCATAGGTTGTGTAGAACCAGACAAATTAAAAAGAAAATGCTGGCTTTGTTGCAGTTTCATATGGACAAGGATATTTCAGAAGTCAGCAGGAAGAAGTTGTTATATCTTCAGAAAAAGAAATAACAAAATGTTCTTTGTATATATTTTTGTTTTATGTATTTGTGTGTGTGTGTGTGTGTGTATATATATATATATATATATATATATATATATATATATATGTGTGTGTGTGTGTGTGTATATATATATATATGTGTGTGTGTGTGTGTGTGTATCCTTTTGCCTTTTGTTTGTGTATGTTCTGTAAAAAAGTAATAATTATTGTTGAAAAAGGCAGTACTTTTCTGTGCTCTGCCTTCCCAAGGAAGCTCATAATATTGAATAACCTTTTATTAAAAACAAACAAACACAGATAGTCCTCAAGTCAGAAATGTAATAGAGCCTGCCAATTATATTTGTAACCCGAGGATTTGTTGGAGTGAATCACATAACATGAATGTTAAAATTCCTTGCTTTTGCCGATGCACTCGCTAATTGAATGAGTGGGTTGTTAAGTGCACATGCAGCACCTTAGGGTGGGGGGGGGGGGGGGGAATTCTGACAACCCAACACCCGATCCACTGAAATACCTCATGCTCCCCACAATTGCTTCCCCCCACCCTACCACGCCCCGTCTTCACAGAAGACTCACCTATCTTGCAAAGATCTAGCGAGCTGTCTCCTCTCAGTTTCTTTGCCTGTTCCTGACACTTAAAATGCAGAGCGGTGAGAGCAGAGGGAGAGCAGGATGAGTGCACTTTGCTCGGCTTCACTGAATCACCAGGCTGCCAGCCGACAGGATGCTTTGAGGCAGTGTGATTTTGCTGTCTCAAAGCCTCCCATTGACTTGCAAAGCCTTTTACTGCAGTTCTCTGCGAATGGAGGCCTGGATGAGATCCATGCAAACGACTTTGCAAACGGAGCCTTCTGTCTCTCTGCAAAGCCTTTTGCCGTGGATCTCATCCAGACCTCTGCTAGCAGAGAACCAGGGGTTGAAGCACTGTGAGATCTCGCAACATCAGCTACTGATCTTTGCATGATCTTGTGGTACTTTAGGCCTCGGTTCTCTGTGAAGGCACCAAAGCAAGCAAAGAAACCAAAAGCTCACTAAATCTTCGCAAGGTGAGTCTCCACAGGCCCAATGTTGAGGGAAGAGGGAAATAGGGCGAATTTTGCAGTGCCTCTGTGGTCGTTCGTAAGGGTGTTCGCCATGGTGCTGCAACATTTGTAATCTGGGGACGGTGTTGTAAGTACTTGGTGGGGGTATGTCTCAACTTTGAACGGTGGCTAAATGAACTGTCATAAATCGAGGATTACCTGTAATTAACGTGCCTTACAAATTTAAACATCCTACCACAATGAAAAAAAAAAATCAGGCACAGTATGATTTTTGTAGCATGCTTCATGCTACAAAGGATTTCTAACCATAGTTTGGCTTCAGGCAGAGAATAATTAGCCTCATTTCATTCTCATCCAGGTAATGAGTAGGTGTGCTGTAAATTACAAGTAATTGTGTCTATCTTTGCCACTGTAGTGGCCTGTCTGTTTCTATAGTTGCCAGCCAAAACAATAGGAGTATTTTTGAACTGATCTGTTTACACTCAGTGAAAATTGAGATATTCTAGACCAGGGGTGTTCAACTTTGGCAAGTTTAAGACCTCGGGACTTTAACTCCCAGAATTCCCCATGCTGGCTGGCCTCTCCAAGGATATCTGGGGAACTTGTTCTTCTAAACCACAATAAAGTCAGCCCCCAAACCAACCTGAGTCTGCCTTTCCTATCATGTTAGCTTTTTCCAGCATAGCTCCTTCTCCCTGGACAGTGGATTTGTATGTTTTAAACTGGCATTGGTTTCTTCCAGCTACTTCTCAAGCTCAGAAGTCCACAGATCAGGAATGACAAAGCTCTCTCAAATGTCAGGGTAAAAACATCACTTCCCATTTAGCCAATTCACATTTAGGTTAGGATAAGATCATTTTAAATCAAGGTCTGAGGCTTGAAAACATTGAGTATATTTTGAAACATCCAATTTCAGAGCAGAATTGCTGCTCTCAATCTGAAGTATTGAATTACAATTCATATTTGGAGGGCAGCAGATGGTTTAACACTGGAATAAATAGCTTATGTCCAAGCTGAAACTCTTTTCAACTCAGAATGTTTCTCATTCAAATTTTTGTCCAGAAGTTAGCATGAGAAAGTCTATAACAAACTAAGCACATCAGTGAAAAAACAAGAACTGTGACTTCATTTGTTTTTCAAAGTTCCATAGCAGTGCATCTTGTGATATGTTGGCTACACATATCTCCAGAATCTTTTTTCCAACAGCCTGTGGTCTCCAACTCAGGCAGCACAACCTGCAATCCATCTGTTACAGACCACAATCTCCCAGTGATTGGACACGCCTTTTCCTTTGTGCTGGTTTATTAAGTAAGAAACAGACATTCAATTAGGGCCCAATTGACCCTCAGCTGGACTGCATTTGTTTTAATGGGTTCACATCATAAAGTGTGATTCCATTTCATATTTTCCGCATCCCCACTTGAATTGCTTCACCTTCCTTACTCTGTTCCAGAGTTTGCTTCCACTCAGGGCTTGATCAATAATTAAGCTAAGTACACAGAAACACAAGGCTAACTCAAGGTCCCATCATTCAGCAGTTCCACAGTAGCTTCTCCTTGCTCTCCTTTTCACGTAGGCAAAGAACAGCCCTTCTCAACATGGGTTTCTCCAGTGTCCAGTGTTTACCCGCCAGGTAAATGGCTGCACAGGGAAGAATTACAGGTAGTCCTCAATTTATGAGAACAAATGGGCCTGGAAAAATTGTTAAGTGTTCAATCATTAAACAAGCAAACCCATAACTGCACCAGGTTATATGATCTGTTTTGCTATGATCATTAAACAAATTTCTGTGATCTTCCCTGACAGTTTCTCCATTGACTTGGCTTTTTGGAAGCTGGCTTGGACAGTCACAAATGGTGATTATGTGATCCTTGGATGCTGTAATCCTTGTAAATATGAACTAGTTGCCAAGCGCCTAGATTGTCATCACGTGACTGCTGTGACATTTGCCACATGTGAATACAGTCACAAGTCACTTCTTTCGGTGCAATTTTAACTTTGAACAGTCACTAAAAAATGGTTGTACTAATCTCTGCTCCCCTCCACAATGTGTGGTTCCAGTAATATTTTGCCTGCTTGGAGTCAGGCTCAAGGTAATATTGTACAGGACCTTCCTGAGTAATCCACTGGAATCAGTGGTGCTTGTTTTTGAGTAGACATATATAGCAGGTTAGGGTTTATTTTCTCAAAATAGAAGCAAACAAACAGCAACAGTGGTGGAGTTTGGTAGGATAAATATTGGGGATCCAAGATTTTTCAAGGGTTATTTTGGGGTATTTGTTTTAATGAAAAATATATTTTTGTGCACTTCCTTTCCTCATGCCTCCGAGTTCAAAAATTGGTGGCTGTTAAAGAAATCTGGATTCTTTTGAGTGTTTGGTGATGCATTTTCCCTTTTGTGATGTATACAAGCAGACGCAAACCAGTCATACCTGGACTGCATTCAGTGCATCTAAAAATACTTACTTTCAAGGAGGTTGAGTAGTGCAACTAAAGAGGTATTTTGTAAATGTACTTTGGTAGGTTGTAATAATCTCCCAGTTTTAAGTGTAGTTCAAAAGCGAACTATAGGCACCCAGAATAAGAATTTAATGGATATAAACATTGTTTCCTCTTTTTTTTTGCTTACTCTGAAGCAGTCATTTTATTTTATAATAGCTAACACCAACAAAATGTTGAAGCATCATTGAAGTCTTTCAATTCTATCTCCCAATCATTTTTTGGTTTCTCTGCCATCCACCCTTGTCTACTAATAATTAGTGAGCCTACTCAATCATTGCTAGGCAAAGGTATGAACCCATCCTTCTTTTTCTTCTCCTTTTCTAAATTTGGACTTTAAATTTGTGAGTCCTTGTGCAAAGATTCCCTGAATCTGTAAACACTGTTCTCTTGTGCCCACAGGCTACTTCTATGCTTTCCTGCTTGCTTCATTGAAATTGCTAATAATTGGTAAGATTCTGTTCATAAAAATATCTTCTGAGACCCAGGGTCTTGTTTGGCCAGCACTGCCGCTGTTTTCAGAGAAAAGTGTGATTAGAGGGAATCATGGCTGGAAAGAGATTATATATATCTTTAGAACCAGAAAGTTGTTTTCAATGAAAGCTAAGTATGTTAGGAATATATCCTGTGTCAGATACCAGAATCCTGCATATATCAGTATTAAACAAAAATATTTGCTCATTTTTAGCACTCCACATACTTGGCTGACAGGAATACTCTGAAGTCCAGAAAAGGTTATTTCAGGTTTATAAACTAACTTTTACTCAGTTGCAACCATTAAATTATGTGATCGTCAGTACCATTTATTACCAAAAAAACCCACACACACCTTTCACATTATAAGGGGTGGAAGAGATCAGGTTTAGAAGAGAGGAAGGTCTTTCATGACTTTTTCTACACCAGTTTTCTGCAATCTAGCACCCTGGAGATAGGTTAGGTTAGGTCAGTAACGCGTTGAATTTTTAAAATTTGACCACACAGTTGGGAGGTCTTATCCCAATATAACTGGAAGATGCCTAAAACAGCTAGGTTGTTAGGTACTTTCTTCCCATCCTATATTTTCAGAATTGTGATTAATGCCTTCTCGATAGCAGTATGTTTCTGCAAGACACTCAACTGATTTTCAAAGCAGTAGAAATGCCCCATTAAAACAACACAGGTACTAAATATTCCACAATTGTCATCCTTCTCCAAGCAACATCATCTGACTGCATAATACTTCAGGGATGAGATCATCTCAATATCAGTGAAGAGGAAGGGCGAGTTTTCCTGAATAATACCGGTTTGTAAAAAGTGAATTTTTGTGTTCCGAAGGAAAGTCCAAGAGGAACAACAATGTGGATATGGTATTTTCCAGAAGGAGAGAGGCTCAAGAAGAAGCATGGAGTGGTCTAATGTTTTCCCATCCCAATGAAAACAAGGCTGCCCTACATAACACTTGGAGGAAGGGGAGATCTTCAGTGCAACGCTTGCTGTTCCTACTGGTGTTTCCAGCAATTGATGTATTAGTGGCTGTTGATACAACAGTGATAAAATGCTTCCAAGGAGCCCCAAGCTGGCTGTGACTGTGCCATTGTGCCAATGCAGTTTGTATAGCAGTGAATGTCCAGCCAGTGGCTCAGTTGGTTGAGGTCCTGCAACTAATATAAAACAGAAGTAGTCTCTGCCTGTCTTTGAGTCTTTCCTAGCAATCTGTCTGATGGTCTGAGCTGGGACTGTCCAAGATGCTTGAGGGCACAGAGTGAGGCTGCTGCTTGCAGTGAAACATGTTGGAAATATAGAAAGCCTGCAAAGGAAAAGATGAGAAAAATGGCGTAAGAGAGCTAATTTGAACAGTAACAACTAAGAAGTCAGCATAGTTAAGAGACAACATCCAACCCCACTATTATTGTACTGCATCTACAGTTTAAATCTTCGGACAAAATGGCCCCTTCCAACTTTCAGATACAGCTATTAAGTATACCCATTTTCTGATTTACAGGCTAGACTATTAATATCAGAAATAGAAGACACTGATCAAAATGTTATAAATTTCAAATTCCCATAAATTTGCTTTCAGCTTGTGTCTTCCTAAAACATATAATTTTCTGAATTTTAGTACATCTCATCCTTAGGCTCCCTTCGTTGTGCTGGAGGCAGATGGGAGGGCCTGGAATTACACAACCTGGCTAGGAAATGGAATGAGTTCCTCCAGGCTGTCTACAGACAATGCTTACAAGGGTGTGTGTTTCCTGGCAGCTTGTGCTAAGCCCTGTGTTTTTGCTCACTTCCCAGACCAGCTCCTTTTAACTGCGCTAACCCTCATCAATTTCCTCCACATCACAGCAACAGAATCCTTATGGATTTTAAAAAGCAGGAAAAGGGTAATGAAAAAGGGCAAGTGAAAGAATTAAAGAATTGGAAGTCCTCTCTTACAAAGGACAGTGAAGGCATTGGGGGATATATGAGCCGGAGGGGAAAATGGATAATAAAAGAGGGGGCATGATCAAATTTTATGAACTGATACCTATCTGATATAGGTTAAATATTCAGTCCTCTCTCTCACGATGTTTAGAGCAGACTTTGTGTAGATTATATTCAAACAATGTTACTGGTACTACAAATAGGTCAGGCAGAAGAAGCTTGTTTTTCTTTATATTTAATAGCTAAAGACTCACTGCCACAATGTCCACTAGCACTGAAAGTTCAAAAAAAGACAACAATAGCAATTCTCTATAATAGCCAAATGAAATCTGCACACTGACAATCTGTTGGTGGACAAACGGGAACATAGGTCAGTGGCCTTTGAGCCGAGCTTGTGAGTGTCTAGAAATACTAGACAGATGTCTGACCTTTGAAACAGGATACAAAACCGGATGAGCCTTTGCTGTAGTACATTGTTGCCCAATCAACATGCAATTATGTATTTAGTGCGTAAAAGTATTTATTAGCTAGTCCAAAATATAGGACTATCTGTTGCACAACTCTGCAAACCAGAAGCATGTCTGTGGGCTTTCCTATGAGAGCAGAACTAACGCATGAACAGCAATTGGTTGAAAAATCAGTTCAACTGCAAATTAGGAGTTACCATATGTGGGCTGCAAACATCCAGTAACTATTAAAATGGCAGGAAAAGCTTAGAAGTCTCTGAGAAACTTTGCTGTAGTTTTGTGGTCATCCAGATATTTGTAACCCAAATACCAACAGCCTTACTTGAAATAATGTCAGGCTTGCTGGATCAAATAGGTTTGTGTACGTAAGAGCATAAGCCAGAGTCCCCAAACTTGGCAACTTTAAGACTTGTGGACATCAACTCCCAGAGTTCCTCAGCCAGCATAACTGGCTGAGGAATTCTGGGAGTTGAAGTCCACAAGTCTTAAAGTTGCCAAGTTTGGAGACCTTTGGCATAAGCAGTGCCCTGTTGAATCGTCCAGCAGCCTGTTCTCATGGCAGCCAAGCACCTGCAGAAACAAGCCCACGAGTCTCCCAGCAGATGGCCTTCAGAGGCAACCCCACAGCTTTGGAGCCTAGTAGCCATTGATCCCCATTAACTGGTCCAACCCTGTTTGGAAGCTAGCCAAACTGGTAATCAGCACCACACTCTGTAATAGTGAATACCAAAGTTTAAATACATGTAATGTAATTCTCCTACCTTTGTCTGCCTCAAATCTTTCAGGATTCAGTTTAATTGGGGGACCTCTGGTTATAGTAAGGGGGAAACGTCTTGTCTTCTTTTTTCCCAGCATAATCTTTTAAACTCCAATCATGTCCCCCCCACAGTCGCTTCCTTTCTAAGTTAAAAAGCCACAAATACTGCAACCTTTGCTCATAGGGAAACTGCTCCATCTCCTTCATTATTTTAGTTGCCCTCCTCTGAACTTCCTAGATATTCTAGATATGGCTGCACCATTTATTTATATAATTAAACATTAAACGTTAAAATATTGGGTCTCTATCTTCAATATTGTTTTTTTTAATTATCGCTATCATGCTGTTGCCCTTTATTTTAGAGTGGGTATACACCCTACAGATAGGTTTTTCTTAATCTGCCTTTCCTCCACCAAGTGCATCCCTCCAAGAACACCGGAAGATGAATTAGGAAAGGGGAAAAAGTGACTCTCCCCAAATCTTCCGGATAGCTTCATAGACAAATAGAGAGTTAATCCTGGGTTTCTGATCTTAGTCTAGTATCCTATAACACTTGGATTCTCTAGAAAACTAGATCATGCAAATAAAAAAGAAATTATAGCACTTATTTAACTTGCACAATCTGCATAGAATTTCATTTTATTTTCGATTGAATAGTATAGAACATTATAGAATTTAGTACAGAATTAAAATAAGTAAGGCCAGTCTCTGCATATCAGAACATAAAACAATGGAAGTTAGAGAGCCGCTTTCCCATCTGTTCATTTTCAAATCTGCGGGGCTACATCTTCCATTATACCCAACCCATCATGGCCTATTATTTGCTGGGTTTTTTGTCCTGACCCACCTTGGAAGCCCTTATCTCCTGCTTTATTTTGGCAATAGCTCCAGTTGAAGTTAAGGGAAGTTGTTCTTAAGCATCATCACCATACTAGGACCCTATTGCCCAATACGGCTAACCTGGTCCCCTCTTCTTTTCCAGTAGCACAGTCAACAATATTTAGTCAAATAGGAATGACCAATTTTTCACTATTCTCACAGTTGCTGCAGAAATGGCTGGAAGACTGTCACTCTTTTCTTTTGTTTGACTGTGGGAGTGTGAAACATAATAATACACCATTCCTACAGAAGTCCCCTTTGGGGTGGGGGACTATTCTACACCTTTGTTTCAACAGCCAGATCAGAGGGCCCTCAGCAGCCTTCAATCTGGATATCAAACATAGGACCTAAAGATGCTTAAAAACTAAACCTCTTAAAACCAATGCTGATTAGGCTTAGCTGTTTGCATGACACGCTTCCCTGCACTCTCCACCATTAAACATATTGGGCAAACAAGGCCGGAGTTTATGTTAAGGGAGGAACAGGTAAACCAGCCTTTCAAAGTTGGGTTGCTCTCCATCACACAAATGAAATTCAATTCCCCAAAGACTCATGCTCGATGGTGAATTATGAGAACCATAAGAGGAAAAAGTACTAATAAACAGGACTTTCTGGATAATGTACCTCAATTCATTTGAGATTACTCTCTGCCTGCATGACAGAAAGAGCATAGAATAACAGGGTTGGACAAGGCCCTGGAGGTCGTCTAGTCCAACCTTCTACTTGATCAGAAGACTATACCATTCCAGACAAATGGTTGTTGAATATCTTGAAAACCTCCAATGAAGGAGCACCTACAACTCTGGAGGGAAGCCATTCTACTGAGTGATTGTTCTCACTGTCAGGAAATTTCTCCTTAGTTTTAAGTTGGATCTCTCTTTAGTAACCTTTCACCTATTACTTCTTGTCCTATCCCTCAGGTGCTTTGGAGAATAGGTTATCCCCCTTCTCTCTATGACAGGCCCTCAGATATTGGAAGACTGCTATCATGTTACTTCTAATCCTTCTGTTGTTAGACTAGACTAGACATACCTCCTGTAACTGTTCATCATACAGTTTAGCCTCTACACTCCTTATTATCTTTGTTGGTCTTCTCTGCAATCTTTCTACAGTCTCAACTTATTTTTTTATATCATGGTGACAAGAACTGGACACTATTTCAATACTACTGCACTAGTACTATAATACTATAGCAGTATAAATCAGTCCTTCACATGATCTTGAAACTATCCCTCTACTGATAATCTTTTACTACATTGGCTTTTTTTGGTAGTTGCAGCATACTGCTGGCTCATTCTTAAGTGGTTGTTTACTAGGACACATAGGTTCCTTTCATAGTCACTATTGTTGAGCCAGGTACCACCTATTCCATACCTGTGCATTTGATTTTTCCTTCTTAAGTGTAAGACCTTACTTTTCCCACCACTGAATTGCTCTTTGCTGGATAGGGCCCAGTGTTCAAATCTGTCAAGTCTATCTTTCTGTATCTTGAGTCTATCTTCCAAAGTTGACTATTACCCCCAGCTTATTGTTGCCTGCAAATTATATGAGTTTCCCTTCTATCCTCTCACCTAAATCATTTATGAAGATGTTGCAGGGTACTGGGCCTACTACAGAAGATTGAGGTACCCCTGAGAGCCTCGGTGACGCAGTGGTTAGAGTGCAGCATTGCAGGCTACTTCTGCTGACAGACGGCTGCCTGCAATTTGGCAGATCAAATCTCACCAGGCTCAAGGTTGACTCAGCCTTCCATCCTTCCGAGGTGGGTAAAATGAGGACCCAAATTGTTGGGGGCAATATGCTGACTCTGTAAACTGCTTAGAGAGGGTTGTAAAGTGCTATAAAGTGCTATATAAGTCTAAGTGCTATTGCATCTCATGATTCCTTCCATTTAGATTTACTTATTGAAGACTACATGTTGACTGTAGTTGGCCAGCCATTTGCAAATCCATCTGGTGGTGATGGTGTCTATTCCACATTTTTCTACTTTACCAAAGAGTAGGATGTAGACTACTTTGCCAAATGTCTTAATGAAGAAAACTATGTTCACATTATTTCCTTTATCCACTAATTTAGTCACTTTGTCAAAGAAGGCAGTAAGTTTTCTCTGGTATACTCTGTTTTAACACACTCCTGTTGGCTTCTAGTAATAGCTTTGCTCATTTCTAGGTGCTTGCAAATCTCCTGCTTGATCATATTTTCTAGGATTTTCCCAGGTATTAATGTGAGGTATTGATCAACTAACTCCTTCTTGCTCTCTGAAAAACAGGCAGAGGCAAAAGAGGGTCAGACAGACTGACAAACACAGGTTGTAACTTACCACCCAATAGGCTACAAGTGCTCCTTGCAGCAGTCCCACAATTACATCAGATGGATGGTGTTGATAGTCCGAAATGCGAGTCAGTCCGGTGTACAGGGCTAGCATCAGTAGCACAAATTGGACCAGTGGGCGTAGCAGTCGAGCGCCTCGCCAGGTGAATCGGGCCTGCAGGTAGAACTGGGGAACAAGCAGTGGAAACCGAGTATATAGCAAACAGTAGCTCCACAGAAAGTTTTTTTTTTCAATCTGTTTAAATCTGCACTCTGGCAGAAGCAATGACAATGATCCAGGAATCTCAGAGCAATACTCCAGAGAAATTGGAGAATTAAAGGAAGAGGCTGGCTAGATTCAGCATGGAAATGCAAATAATTGGAGCTTTTCGCTTAGCACAATACATTAAACATGCCTTATGCTGGCAACTGGAAATCTTTCAGATTCTATTAGGAGAAAGGAAAGCAGGGATGACAGCAACAGCTTTAATCCTTTTCACCTTCTATATTTTTCAATGACTAATGGCAACATTTTAAAAAGAAAGTTAGACCATTTATGCAGAATTGAAAATTTTCCAGATTTTGCCTTGAAAATTATGAGCCATGATGGCGCAGTGGTTAGAGTGCAGTCCTGCAGGCCACTTCTGCTGACTGCTAGGCTGAAGTTGGGCAGTTCAAATCTCACCAGGCTCAAGCCTTTCACCCTTCCGAGGCAGATAAAATGAGGACCCAGATTGTTGGGAACAATTTGCTGACTCTGTAAACCACTTAGGGAGGGTTGTAAAGCCCTGTAAAGCACAGAGGTGGTATTCTGAACAGTTCTGGAGAACCGGTAGCAGAAATTTTGAGTAGTTCGGAGAACCGGCAAATAACCACCTCTGACTGGAGATTTTACAGTATCCTTCCCCTGCCACGCCCACCAAGCCACCCCCACAGAACCGGTAGTAAAAAAAAATTGAATCCCACCACTGGTGAAGCGGTATGTAAGTCTAAGTGCTATTAGTTGTTCACAACACAGATGTGAGGGGAATGGAGAGAGAGTAGATGCTTGTTCTTGCTTGCCCTCTTTCCTACATAAGGGTCCTACATTTTATACAGCCCGAACAGGATGACAACAATGACAGTAACAGATTTCAGAAAACAGCATGCTGGATTTATTGGGAAGATTCTTTTCCAACAGCAGAGATGGGGCATCCCAAACGAGCACCTCTTTGCCACCCACTACCTATCTCCCTTCTCTGGAAGAGGAATGAAAATATGCTTTTAATGTACTTAGACAGTGAAAGTTAAGAAGCTAAAGTCAGACTGTGAAGCAAGAAGAGAGCAGACAAAAATACACTTCAGAATGCCTGCTAACTCAGTACCAAACATTTTTTTCCTACTAGAATTTTCTGCTATCTAGAAGGGTTGTGTTGCTATGAAGGCTGCCATTCACACAGGCAAAAACGAAACAAGCTCTGTGGAGATTACTCCATAAAGCAAACTCTTCATATGATATATCTTCCAGTTGTATTTCGCACACCAGTATAAACCTTGAGGATGTTTGTTTTAATTAATAATTTTGAAGAGAGGACCTTGCACCCATGTCACAAGGCTGTCCCTCCACTAAGTTATGCCTAAGCAGCTACCACATAGGGCTGCTGCCTGCATGAGTCTGTCTCTTTTTCTTGTTTAAACTGTGGTTCATGTATTGTGATGATACATATTAACAGAGTTGAAGGGGACCTTGTAAGTCATCTAGGACAGGGGTCGTCAACCTTTTAGACCTCAGGGACCACCAAAACCATAATTTTAAATCCTGCAGACCAGAGACCCTGGAAAAACCCCCAAAAACTCTGCAGGAAAATTCCCCACCCCATTTTCCTACCGATCGATCATTCTTTATTTGGGATTGCAGGATACTGTCTCCAGCTCCATTCTCAGGGAGAGGGAGAGAGAGACTTTTGGCTTCATGCAAGGAAAGCAGCAGAAGTCTTTCTTTCTCTCCCCCAAACTCTGCCAGAAATGAGTTTTTGTGAGACTTGTCATGCTGGCCCAGCCTCTTGGAGCAGGATGCCTTGCAGGGTCCCAAAGACTCATGTCTGGTGGAGTGTGGGGGAGGGAAAGAAAGACTTTTGCTGCTTTCCTTGCATACAGCCAAAAGCAGAAGAAGTGGAAAGAAGCAGCCGGGTGGTCAGGCGAGGCGTGTGGGGCAAGTTCCCCCGCTCCGCCCTTTCCCCCTTCCCTCACTGCCTCGTGTTGTTCACAATGCAAGTGACGCAAGCCTTGTGTTCGCGGGGGCCATTTGGGCGGCGCAGCCTTGTGTTCCCATGCAGCCTAGATTAATTGTTTTTTTTTGGGGGGGGGTGCTTTTCTCTGTGGACCACCAAATTTTCTCACGGACTACCAGTGGTTCCTGGCCCACTGGTTGGTGACCACTGATCTAGTCCATCTAGTAGATGATCTGCCCTCTTCCCAAACTTCACTTCTGTAAACCTGAAGAGAGGAACTTACCACTAAGTACATCATGGAATACATAGCAAAGGAGGCATGGCCAGAGTAAAAGGATTTTCTGGAAGAGAAAATAAGATATTTCTCTGAAGAGGACATAATATGTACTGCTTAGTTTGGTCTACTGATTCCAGCCACAAATGCAAATTGATCATTACACAACCTTACACTGACTACACTAAACCATTTTCTTCTGATGTCCTTTTTCATTGATAGCTATCCTGAAAGGCTCCAGTCCCACCAACATTAACCATAGGTACCCCAGGATTCATTGCAGTTAACTATTTTGTTAAAATCCATTATTTTAGGGAGACTTACATGCCCATACAGTTTCTTTGGGCTGAAAGTTTGGAGAACAGATTAACTTGATTCTACAGAGAAAAGATTATCTGATTACACAGCAAAGGCTTCAGAAAGTTGTCTTGGCTGCCATCTAGTGGGCATCCAGATTTCTGTAGTCCAGATAGTGTGTTAGCTTTAGTGTGCTGGAATATCTAACAGTCCCTGGGAACATACAGAGAAAGGGGGAAATACGAGAAAGAGTCTCAGAGTAACTGCATCTTAATTATGCTAGGTTTTAGTTGGTCTAGAGAAGTGATTTGACAGGCTTCTGAAAATTTGATGCATTACCCCTTTAGCACTAAAAGTTTTTCCAGAAATCCAAGAGATTCTTGAGTTTATCAGCCTTGCAAGGCTTGATACCCAGTGAAGGCTGAGGTCAGTTTTGACTGAAGCTTTTGGGTCAAGCTAACAATAAGACTGCAATACAATAAATGCACTGTTCTCTAACAGAAGCCTCACTTGATCCATTTATCAGTCCTCCCTGTTTTTTTAAAAAGCATTGTCTCCTCAACTACCATCATCATTATGCTGACAGCAAACTTATTCAAAGCAGAGATAAAGCCAGATAGGGATAGAACAGAAAAGTTGGAAAGAGGTAAGCTGCAGGTAGAAAACAGATTCTGCATATGTTTTGTTTGCTTTGAAAATGAAATCTGATCGCATTCCTCCTTTGAGGCTGGGATAATGACAGACTGAACTCCATAGACCTCCCCACTTTTCCCTCTAGTTCTGACTGGATTAACTGCTCATCATCATTCCAATTTGTATCTCCTCAATCCAGATACCCTCCAGAACTTACATGAAACACATTTGCTGGAGTGAGTTTCAGCAGGAAGAACCAGAAGAGATGAATGGAAATGGCACAGGAGTAGGTTGAAACATATAATGGTAAAACAAAGGGAAAAAGAGATTTCCTGCTCCCCAAAGATAATACAAGCCTTGGAATTGCCAAGAATTGCCTTCTACCTTGTTGGCTGGAGTTGCAGGACTGAATATGGCAGAATGGGAAATCCAATGTTTTTTTTCTATCTGCTCCCTTGGATTTGTCTCTCTTGCAAGGGATATACCACTTACATCCTTCTCCAAGGGCATGGACAAACATTTTGCAACTCCTTGAGACTGTCCATCCAATCCAGTTGTCTGACTGAACAAAACTTGCCACTGGGGCAAGAAAATGGCTGCCTCTCTTTTATATTTCGCTTCAAATGTTCCTTGTGGGCAAACTTAAAACACAACTCCTATTTATTACACCAAAATTGTTCTCTTTCTTGGGTTTGGAGATGTGCCCTAATATAATGGATTCACTTTCTCATTTTTGAGATTTCTCTTTTATGGTCTGTGATAAAATAATAAAAGCTAATGGGACCTTCCATACCTATTCCAGCTTGGGAGATGAACGGGCAACCTGAGTGGCAGAAGTTGAATTCAGGATGATACCTGATATCTATAGTTAGACTACTTCTTGGCATCTCTTTGGAAGTTGGAGCCTATTTGTTCTCTTTCACAGTCCAGATCAAGCTTGGACATATTTTTGTGGCTGAAAATCATGCTTTTTTAAAGCTTTTGAGGCTGCAGTTCATACTATTGCACACATTCATGGATACTTTTTTTTTCTGTTGGGGAACTTTTTGGTGGCTCCAGGGCCTTTTAAAAGGTACTTGGGACCCGCAGGTTGCTCTCACTTTGCACACCTTTGAGCTAGACTTACACAATTCTTATCTTTTCTGGGTAGTGCCTGGATGGTAAACTAACTTAGCTGGAGACCATCAGATCAAGGCAGCTTGTTGCATGAAGCGTCAGAAGGAAAATGGGAGAGGAAGATCCAGTCCTTTTCCATAGCATGCAATTTGGCTATGATGCATGTGAAATAACAGGAATAAAAAATACACAATCACTTTTCTGTGATTCATTGTCAATATGCCATTGAGGGGGGGCGGGGTTGGGCATCAGAAGATTGTCATGAAACATACCTGGCCTCCTTTTCCTTAGAGTGGCTACTAGTGCAAACATAGTCCTCCAGGTATCCAGCAGAGCAGGCCATGTGAGTGAAATTAGGTTGACAGACAGCCAGAAAATGTGGCCGGAGGCGACCTACAGCAACTTTTGCCATGTTAGTGAGTGACTGACCCACACAGCAGCCAAAAAGGAAGGTCCCAATTTCTTTATAGAGGGCAGTCACATATGGATTGGGGATTGTAGAGCGTGATCTCTGAGGTAGATGATGCACATGGAAGATTTCACCTACAGTGATCTGCAAGAAAGAAAAGAGATGTTGGTCTATAAGCAATTCTGAAATCTGGGAGTAGAGATAGGAGAATAAACATTTCTTAAGTAATGAGATATGGGATTTGCACTGGGAAAGAGAACAGGAGGACTCATCCTTAATGAAAATAAGTAGGGAGCATTGGTATAAAGACTCTTAGACCAGAGAACAAAGAATAACAGGGTTGGAAGGACCTTGGAGGTCTTTTAGCCCAATGTCCTACTCAAGCAGCAGACCCTACGCTATTCCAGATATTTAGCTGTCCAATCTCTTCTTGAAAACCTCCAGAGGCCATTGTGCTTAGATCCTGGTGAAGGAAATGCGTCCAATTATACAGTTCATTCTTTGATCATTTGGCTCTGGGGATTCCGTAGTCACGAGCTGTAGAAAAAGGCCCAGCATTCCTCCCCCACCTCTTGCCTCCCTCCCGACTCACTGCTAGGAAGGAGATGAGGGTGCCTGATGAAATGAGCATAGTGTCGGTGATGGTCTCAGGATGCTGCAGGGGGTAGCTGATGCTACTGTCATTGCAGAAGAAGCCACGACGCATTGGAGAAACGAGGCCGAATTCGCAGATGAAGAATGGGATGGAGGCTACAGAAACAAGACAAATTTTTATTTTTTTTCCCTTTCTTTGTTACTTATTACGTATTTATTTTTAAATTTGCTTCATCTTTTTTTCTTTTATCAGCATATAAACACACACACACAACACAGAGTAACAATTCAAAGGAGGTTTTAATATTAAGTAATTAGCTTAAGACTGAAACCATTAGCATCTATTTGATAATTTGATATGCGCTGCAGGAGTTTTTTAGTGTTATATTTACAATTGGATGGAAAAAACAAAAGAATGTTATGCTTGTAATATTGACATCCTAAATGATAATTAACTGATATATTTTTCCTTTTCCTTTCTTTATATGCCAGGTGAATTACAATGTTAATAATCTCTAATCATATCATATAAACATCATAATGCAATGTATAGAAAAATGTAAGCAATGCTGTAAATATAGAATACCAAACTAGCTAACCTCATCGGCGTTGGGTTTGTTCTCAATTTAAATTCTAGTGACTTGCCCTCTCCGTGAGGGTGAGAGTTGTCTTGTAGGGTTCTTTGGTTGGGCCATTTACTGATAACTTACTAGGACTTGTTACCTACTTCAGTTAACTAGGACTTTGTTACCTAACTTAATAGGACATGTTACCTACTTTAGTAATGAAACATCTGCAAGAAAACAACCAAGCTCGGAGAGCACCAAGGACCCCTCACAAGTGGAAAAAGAAAACAACACACATGCACTTCCTAATTTGGTGCCTTCCAGAAGTATTATTAGCTGTCGTGTATTGAGGGAAATTCTAGTCTTTACATTTTATTAAGGTATACTTTCTTACGACAAGAATAAGACAGGGATCCATATAAATACAAAATTGGCCTAATTCTTGGGGGCCTAGCTAATTCCCAGTAAGCAGGCAGATATAGTCCCTGTCTAGGTTAATTTATTCTGTAGAAAGGAACAGCTAGCATGTATTCCTTGCTCTGAGAAATGCAAAATGGGGGAGGGAGATACACAGTGTCTACATGGGTATGAAATATATATCCAACAGTGTTCTTGCAACTCACAGGACCTTCCTTCCAAGTATGCAGCACCTGTAGCCATTATGGGCATTTTGGTAATACATGTAAGAGTTGTAGAATACAGAATAAGCATAGCAGACTGAGAAAGGACATGGGATGTCTTCTAGTCCAGCACCTTGCTTAAGCAAGATTTTCCTTTGGAACTTTAATGTAAGTCTCTCCCTATAAGTTGTGTTGTAGTTTACTCATTTCTGTCCTATTCCTTCTGTTGAGACCCACCTACTATCTAAACCTGGATTAGATCTGAAGACAAGCACTTCTGCAACTTAAGTTCTCCTCCCTTCCTGAATGCAGCTGCAAAGGAATTAAAAAGCTAGAGTTTTGACTTAAGGTGTCATCTGATATGAATCTGAGACAAATCTCAATGTATGTATTTTACCGTGGTTTATTTCAACAAACCACAGCTTAAGACTAACAACAGTAGTTTAAGAAAAGCAAAACTTCTGAATTTTTTCCTGAGCTGCATTGGAAAAAAGGGAGCAATAAGTTTGTGGTTCACCATCATAAAATGCAAATGTACTTTTCATCTCAGTAATTAAGTGTACACAAGGTAGGCTATTATTATTAGAGCAAGGGAATGAAATGAAGTTCCAGTTTGCTGAACCACAGAAACTGGATTTACATGGTATGTAAGACCAAATCAACCCAACCACATTGTAGCTGTATTTCTTCTCTCTAGGTCTCATACGTTTTTCCTCACTTGCAGCTAACTAAACAAGGTGGTGAATGCATTTCTGCCTCATTCAGCCAAAATAATCTTATTGCTTTCAAGTTTAATGCTGAACAAAAACAAAGTGAATTTGAGGAATGGCTTACATTTGAAGGAACAAGTAGCTCTAATTGATGCCCATTGGTTAACATCCACGGGTTATGTTTAGGTTAGCTAAGTCAGATACAAGCCTAACATGCTGCAATTTTTTTTCTCCTTAACTTTCCATTAGCACTGAATCTTGAACATGATTCAAGGGATTGTATGTACAAACCAAGAAAATGGCCATATTTAGTAATGTAATTAAGTGTATTGTCTGAGTGGAGACATAATATTACCAAGAAGCCTACCCACAATTCCAAACCTCATTTTTAAAAAAGGAACAAATAAGTGATTGGATATATTGAAAACAAAATTAGGTAGGTGGGAAGCTAACCCAACAATGGGAAAAAAAATAAGAATGATGACAGAAGCAAAATTTCCTGAAATGATGGTGGTTTTATAATGTGATTATAAAACCACCAGTCTCTGTCCTGGTTCATACCTTGTAGTAAGCCATTTTTTAAAAATCTTGATTTGTCAAATAAGGCTTGCCCAATATGTTATGCATAAACAACCCTCATGAGATGTTAAACTAACCAGTGTTTTTGTTTTATAATTAATTGGCTATCCCAAGCATTACAAAACTTATATGAGCTTTTTTCTCTCTTGAACACACCCTTTTCATACAGCCGACCAGTGCTTCTCAACCTTGGTGAATTGGAATATATGTGGACTTCAACTCCAGAATTCTGGGAGTTGAAGCCCACATAACTTGTAATTCGCCAAGGTTGAGAAATGCTGTCATAGAGCATAGACTTTAGCATGCAAGGCTCCTCTTCCATCAGCAGCTACCTTGAGAATAATCTTACGGCAGTCTTGTCACGGTGATTTGGCTGAGGAGAAATGGGGAAGAACAGGGAAAGTGTGCTTAACATTAAGGTGGTCTCTGAGCATCAGCAACGGGAATGGACAGAGTTGAAGGGAGAAGGATTATGTTCCTCAAAGCCACTGTAATATCTCTGAACTGAAATGGCCACAGAGAACCAACTGCTGCTACCTCAGCCTCCATTCTCCCCTCCCTGCTTCTTCTTTCTACTGTCATCAGATCCCCTGGGAAGGCCTAATGAATTCTGCCTGCCACGCAGAAGGAACTGGAATGTGAAACCAAGCAGGTAAGCCTTGAGACATGAGCCAAGATGTCTTGTGACTCTTTATGCTCAGGAACCTTGGGATAGGTATCACTAATCCCAACTCTGGGCCCCTGACACAAAGAATTTCCATCCCAAACTGAAGGATATGCTAGCTACCACACCAGAGATCAATTTCTGTAACACTCTTATCACATTTAACAATCAGAGTAGGATTTTGGGAAGCCGGGGCATATAAAGCCCCAAATTGACTGCCCCCCAATACAAACAAAAGTTGGAACACATCGTTTGTCAATTGCTGTTCCTATTGGGTATTTGGAGCCATATTGTCTTGGTTAATGTTGCTAAGAACATATTTCTCTAATCACTGAACCACACTTAAAAAGGATCGTGTAGCCCAGAGTCTGGTTATCTTGACAATTTTGTAATTGATTGGACTTATAGATCAATATAACAAGGAATAGTATTGCATTTTGAATAATGAACATATTAACAGGGTTTTTCATGAAAATGCTACTGCTGAGATTTCTACAACTTTGGATTCTCCAGATAAATTAGGGCTATTCCTAGACACTCAACATGGCTCAACTTGGTTCCAACATGTGGTTAAGCACATGGTAAAGTTCTTATTTGGAGACAGCGGATCAAACTTTCTTCTGCTGCCACCAATCACATAAGTAGAACAGGACCATCATCTATCTAAACCACTGGCTTTCAGTGTGATGGATACATACACAGCAATATCTTCAAAACTAGCATTTCTCAATCTTGGACCTTTATGATAATTGGACTTCAATTCCTAGAATTGCCCAGGCAGTCATGCTAGTTGGGAAATTTGGGAGTTGAAATCCACACATCTTAGTCACCAAAGTTGAAACTTATTGTTCTAAACCATTGTATTGATATTTCAGCAGGGAGAATTGGAAAATCAGCAAAGGCAGGGCATGTGAGGCAGCCACAAGGACACACAGCATTTGTACAGCCATATTGTCTTGTCATAACCATAAGCTACCTGTCCATCCACCCTTTCTCGAGGGCAGAAACAGATGATACCTTCTAATGCAACTCTTCTTGGTGTTTCCTGGCTACACATCAAACATAATTTTTCCCCCTGGCTTGTGTCTGTTGGACTGATGAGGTCCAGGTTGCTTGCTCCACTTTAATTTCTTCTTAAGCAAGCCCTTGAATTTTTATTGGTTGCTGTGTGTAGTGGCAGGAATGCTGGGGTACTATTTTGGATCTGCATGCCATTCTCACCAGTGTAATTTCCTTCCCCCCCATTTTTAAAACAACTTTTTGCTTTTGTTCAATTATATAATTTTTGCAAAACTCTTTTCAAAGTTAAAGTATCAGAAAGCACACCTATCCAGGGATTTGGTAAAACAATAGTTTCTCTCTTGCATTTTTCTCAGCTTTTGTTTGGTTTCCCTCCCACGGAAAATAAAGTGATTGGCAATGACTTTCCTGGCATGGGAAGTTGGGAGGGCAAGCAACAGGGGAGAGAGTGTGCACAGCAGCCAGCAGTCCAGTCTAAATTCCTGGCAAGTTGCTGCTGAAGTGTCCCAACCTGCATAGAATTTCTTTAAATTAGCTTAGAGTTCAGCTGGCATCAGCACGGGACCAAACAGTAGTGCAGAACTGCCTCTAGACTTGAACTTGGGAAACAGTTTCCCAAATTTATGGTTTTACCACAATATTTAATAGATGGACAGTAGATGCAAGTCATTGGTTGAGTTGACACAATGCACTAAGGCACCATTGGGATTACTGAATGAACTACAGTATTGAGACTACATTCATTTGGTATCTCAGGGGAAAAAACAACCATTTACAAACCAAAAGGTTCGGTTTGCTCAATGCTCAAAAACAAAGTCAAATCAAATGCATCGTGACATGACTGAACTGTGTTTCTTTACCTAATAGAACTGGAGCCTCCTAAGAGTGAGAATGGGATTCAGGTAGACTAAGCAAATGAGGTTTGTGCAGGAGTAGAAATACCTTTTGCAATCCAACTAGGCTTAAGTTACAGACAGCTGGGACAGAACAGTCATCA